GCAGAAAGATCCTGAGTGTCCTAACTGGAATGTGATGGGATGCATGATGGGAAATCTGGTGATTCTCTGGAACCTTGTCAGCAGTAAATTTGTTAAAACTCATTCTAAAGTAGACATTTAAAGCTGAATTAAATCTGCCGTGTTAACTTTCTGTTAGAAACCAACGACAGAAACACCACCAGAGCTTATTTCAGCAGAAAAGATGATTCTGGACAATGTTAGTTTAACAAAACACAACTTCTGGGACATTTGGAGGAAGTGAAAATATTTCTATAAAGTAGAGACATTTTTAGTGAGGATGGGATCTTCTGGAAAATGTGGGGCACAGTCTTACATGGAGGGTGTAAAAAAAGAAAAGTAAATAGGGTGTCACTGAAAATGCAAAACATCATCTCTGGGACATTTTAGAAACAACAAAATGTATACACCTGCTGTTAAAATTAGTTTTCCCCAGCAGTTTTGAAAGACAGTGAAGAAAGAAGATGTGATGTGAAGCAAGAAAGCTGCAGCTGCCAGAAACCTCAGTTTTAAATAAAGTTTTCATTAAGAGTGATGGGACAAGGACGACCAGCAGGGGGCAGCAGCGTCACTCACCTGGATCTGTAGGAGAGCTCACCCCATCTGCTGGATCTCAGCGCTGCATTCCATACAGTGGATCATAGCATCTTATTACAGAGACTGAAACGTGTTGTTGGACTTGAAGGAACTGCACTAAATTTGTTTAAATCATATTTATCAGACAGATTCCAGTTTGTTCATGTTAATGATGATTCTTCCACCCACAGTAGAGTTAGTGATGGAGTTCCACAGGTTTCTATGTTAGAACCAATGTTATTTACTGCGTACATGCTTCCCGTAGGCAGTATTATTAGGAAGCACTGCATAAATATCTATTGTGATGCAGATGACACCCAGTTATATCTATCTGTGGAGCCAAATGAAACCAATCAGTTGGTCTAAACTCCAAGCATGTTTGAAGGACATAAAGGCCTGGATGACCTGTAATTTTCTTCATTTAAATCCAGAAAAAAACAAGGTTATTGTATTTGGCCCTAAACATCTCAGAACCCACTGTCTAACCAGATAGCTTCTCTCGATGGCATCGCCTTGGCCTCCAGTCCTACTGTAAAGAACCTTGGAGTTATTTTTGACTAGGACATGTTCAATACACATATAAAGCAAGTCTGCAGGACGGCCTTCTTTCATCTACGTAATATTGTAAAAATCAGGAACATCCTGTCTCACAGTGATGCTGAGAATCTAGTCCATGTATTTATAACTTCTAGACTGGACTCTTGTAATTCCTTATTATCAGGATGTCCCAATAATTCTCTCAAAAACCTCCAGCTGATCCAAAATGCTGCAGCCAGAGTTCTGACAGGAACCACTAAGAGAGATCATGTTTCTCCTGTATTAGTTTCTCTTCATTGGCTCCCTGTAAAATCCTGCTTCTAACATATAAAACTCTTTATGACCAGCTCCATCTTACCTTGAAAACCTTATTGTACCGCATCATCCCAACAAAGCCCAGACTGCAGGTCTACTTGTGGTTCCCAGAGTTTCCAGAAGAAGAATGGGAGGCAGAGCCTTCAGTTATCAGCTCCTCTGTCGTGGAATCAGTTCTTAGTTTGGGTTCTGGAGGCAGACACCATCTCTACTTTTAAGATTAGGCTTAAAACTTTCCTCTTTGATAAAGCTGATAGTTGGGGCTGCTCAGGATCACCTGAACTGTCCCTTAGTTATGCTGCTGTAGGTCTAGACTGCCGGGGGACTACCATGATGCACTGGGCTCCTATCCTCTACTCTCCCCCTCTTTCTTCCATACAGTTACAGTACGTATGGAATTATGTTGTAAATCCCCCCCCCCAAAAAAAGTGGTAAACAACTCAGAGTATGTTTTATATTTTAGATTATTCAAAGTATCCTCCTTATGCTTTGATGACAGCGTTGCACAGTCTTGGCATTCTCTCAGTCAGCTTCATGAGGTCGTCTCCTGGATGGTTTTCCAACAGTCTTGAAGGACTTCCCAGAGGTGCTGAGCACTTGTTGGCTGCTTTCCTTCACTCTGTGGTCCAACTCATCCCAAACCATCTGAACTGGGTTTAGGTCGGGTGATTGTGGAGGCCAGGTCATCTGACGCAGCACTCCATCACTTTCCTTCTTGGTCAAACAGCCCTTATGTAGCCTGGAGGTGTGTTTGGGCTCATTGTCTTGTTGAAAAACAAATGATGGTCCCAGTAAGTGCGAACCAGATGGCTGCAGAATGCTGTGGTATCCATGCCAGTTAAGTGTGCCTTGAATTTTGAATAAATCACCAACAGTGTCACCAGCAAAGCACCCCAGGACCATCATACCTCCTCCTCCATGCTTCACAGTGGGAACCACACAGGCAGAAACCATCCACTCACGTTCTCTATGTCTCACAAAGACAAGGTGGTTGGAACCAAAAATCTCATCAGACCAAAGTACAGATTTCCATCAGTCTAATGTCCATTCCTTGTGTTTCTACATAAGACTGCAGGTTTACATACAAACACGTCTCTTCTTCTTGTTCATCCTCAGTCGTGGCTTCTTTGCAGCGATTCAACCATGAAGGCCTGATTGATGCAGTCTCCTCTGAGCAGTTGATGTTGACATTTGTCTGCTACTTGAACTCTGTGAAGAATTTGTGTGGGCTTTCATCTGAGGTGCTGTTAATTTGTGGTTTCTGAGGCTGGTAGCTCTGCAGCAGAGGTAACTCTTGGTCTCCCTTTCCTGGGGTGGTCCTCATGAGAGCCAGTTTCATCAAAGCGTTTTTGTGACTGTTCTTGAAATTTTCCAGATCGACTGAACTTCATGTCTGAAAGTAATGATGGACTGCTGTTTCTCTTTACTGGGTTGGGTGGTTCTCGTCATACTGTGGATTACAACAATAGTCAAATATGGCTATCCGCTGTGTATTAACCCTACCTCTGCACAACTCAGCTGATGGTTTCAAACATATTAAGAAGGCAAGTAATTCCGCAAATTGACTCTTGACAAGGCAAACCTGTTCATTCAAAACCATTTGTTTTGTTATGTTAAGCGCTGTGAGATGACGTAAGTTGTGAATTTGCACTATGTAAATACATTTGAATTGAACTGAATTGAAATTATATAACATACATACAACACACATACTGTAAGGAAAAAAACATGTATAATGTAGGACATATATGTTTTTAAAATGCAGCTGTGCAGTTTTTGCAAAATATGAACCACGGAAATCTGCAAATGTTCAGTATGATGCATAAAAGCATTGAATGTGAGAATGTGTTCATGTAATGCATTAGTTTATGCTAATATCAACAGTCCAACTAATATTAGCCATGTTTAATTTTAGCACTTTTAGAAGTAAAACCAACTTACCTAAGCTAAAACCAAATCTTTAAGCTAATATCTAGTTATTTAAGTTAATCTCAACGGTCGTTACAGCTAATATTAGCCTTTAAGCAAACTAGCATAGCTTAAGCTAAGCGGTTGATGATTGTAGCAGTAATTTTAACAGTGTAGACATGACTGTTTGCTAACCTTCAGTAGCTATATCATTACTATTAGCTTTTGCCTTTTATACTTTTAGTAGTATATCCATAATGTGTCAATATGGCTTTTGTATTTATTGTTATAACCAGTTTCCACTCAACTAATTGATCCATTTGCCAACATCTTTGACCAATTACCTATTACTGTTTTTTTTTTTTTTTAAATTGACACCGTTATCACTGTTATAGCCATTAACTTTAGCCAAGTAAGTATTTTAGCCATTTGTCAATATTTTTTTACCACTTGTCCATTACCTTTGCCTAATTTTCAATTGGTTAGAGGTTACTTAAACTTTAATTGGTGAGGTTGTTTTTTTTTTTGTAATCCTACAACTAATATGGGTAGTTTACACTGATATCAATAGTTAACGCTAATATCAGTAGTTTAAGTAAAAATCGATAGTTGTGTAAATTAATTTTAGCCATTGCTTAAAGTTTAATCAGCTATTTAGGTTAAAATGTCATAAAGATAACAGTTAAAGCTAATATAGGCAGTTAATGTAATAGCAACAGCTGTTTAAGCTAAAATCAACAGTGGTTTAAGTTAATATCAGTTTTAATGAATATCAAACAGCGTTCAAGCAGGTAAAATGACAACAAACATACAAAGTTTTTATTTGGACTCTCGTTTTATTGTCAGGTCACATTCTCTGACCATGAGAAAACAGAGAAAAGATTTTGACTGTCTGTCAACATCTACAGCTGCTTAGCTTCACTGGTAGGAGGAGGAGGCTGAAGTGGAGGAGGAAGAAGTGGAAACCACCTTCCCATCAACCACCTCCTGCACCACTGTCACCACCCGCCTGGTGGTGCTTGACGAGGAAGTGCTTGACACGGAACTGCTGGTGGTGCTGTAAACCAATCACAAGACAGAAGAGCTTAGTGTCGGCAACATCTGTTAGCTTTGGTTTTAGCCGTTACACCTCTCACCTGTTGATTTTTAGAAATTGTTGAGGTTAATATCGACAGCTAAGCAAATACCAGCAGCTGTCTAAGCTAATATCAGCAGTGGTTTAAGCTAGTACCAATGGTTATTTTAGCTAATTCTAGCAGCTTTTTAGGTTAATATCAGCAGATGTTAAAGCTAATATCAGCAGTTTTCTAAGCTCATATAAATAGACATCTAAGCTAATATCAACAGCTGTTTAGGCTAACATCAGGGACTACTTAAGTTAATATCAATAATTGTTTAGGCTCACATCCACAGCTGTTTAATCTAACCTCAGCAGCTGTTTAAGCTAACGTCGGCAGCAGTTTTAGCTTTGATGCAGGTGATGCTGAGGCCCAATCAGAAAACAGAACAGCTGAGTCTCACCTCTCTCCGTCCAGCAGCCTCCTGTATTCGGCGATCTCCAACTCCAGCCTGGTCTTGATGTCCAGCAGCATTTTGTACTCCTGTCCCTGCCTCTCCAGGTCGGCCCTCAGCTGCACCAGCTGCTCCTCCAAGGACGTCACCTGAAGGCCGAGCACAGAAACATTCACAGGTGAGATCAGCTGAGATAGCTCCACTGCTTAGCTTCCTGAAACAAACAGGAGGTCAGTGTCTCACCTGCATCTGGTACCCAGACAGCTGCATGGAGTAGCGGCTTTGTGTCTCAGCCAGCGTCCCCTCCAGCGATGCTTTCTGCACAGGGAAAAATAAATCAGTTTTCCAAACACTGTTCATACCTGAAGATCAGAGGTGTCTAATGCTCATGGGACACTTACCAAACCCAGCAAAGACTGTAGCTCAATCTCCAGAGACTGTAGTGTACGTTTGACCTCTGTGATCTCTGAGCGGGATGTCTGTAGGGTGACGGTCTGAGTGACCACCTCTTTGTTCAGAGCTTCTTTCTGCAGGAAAATCACACCTGTTCAGTTCACATGTAGACACTCAGGTGAGCTGTGTGTCAGCGATAACATGTCATGATGGTACCTTTGACTCGAACCAGCACTCCAGGTCCTTCTGGTTCTTGGCAGCAACAGTCTCGTAGTGTTCTCTGATCTCAGCCATGACCTTGCTGAGGTCCTCCTGAGGAGCAGCGTCCACCTCCACATGGACTTGGCCGCTCATCTGGGAGCGCATGGCCAGCAGCTCCTGCAACCAACAACCAATGTAAGACTGACGTGCCTTTACAAACCCACAGTTGTTCAAGTTCAGGGCGAAATCTAAAGATCATTTTCATCGAATATTTGATTTCCCAGAGTTCATTGAAAGTTATTGTTTCGTCTGAAACCAAAAAGTTTTCAGACAGCTGCTGTTTAAGCTTATATCAACAATTTCAGCTAATAAGTCAACTTATATCAACACCTGTTTAAGCTAATATCAGAAATTTCGGCTAATAACAGTTATTTAAGCTAATATCTGCAGTTGTTTAAGTTAGCATCAGCAGTTCTTTAAGCGAAAGTCAACAGTTGTTCAAGCTAACGCCGCGAGCTGTTGATGCTAACATTAATAATTATTTAGACCAATTTGGTTGATGAAATAATCACCTAAACAGTATCAGTTCCAGTCAAGTCATACCGTGAACATGGTCATTAATTCAGAATAAAATTAATTTTGAAACTGCAGATGTAATCATCAATCAATCAATCAGATTTTTTGCATTGATTATTTTGGGCGCGCTCACCTCCTCGTGGTTCTTCTTGAGGAAGATCAGCTCCTCCTTCAGGCCTTCGATCTGCATCTCCAAGTCGGTTCTGGCCAGTGTGAGTTCGTCCAGAACCCTCCTGAGCCCGGCGATGTCGGCCTCCACCGACTGACGCATGGCCAGTTCGTTCTCGTACCTGCAGGGGGCGATAGAGGCAGGTGGACTTAGTGTCAGAATCAGTTAACATCTGATCAAGTTTAAATGAAGCTTTCAATAACTTTATCAGGCTATATAAAGTTTGATCAGATTTATTTGACATCTAAAGTTTGCTCAGGTTAAGCTCGGATCAGTTCATTTAAAAGTTTAAAGTTTGACCCGATTGATCTAAGGCTTGATGAGGTTACTTTAAGGTCTCGTCAGTATTATACATTATTATATAACACCTGACCAGGTTATCTTATGTTTGATCAGGGTTTTTAAGCTCGGATCTGGTTTATTTAAGATCTGACTCCTCCTCCTGCTACCTTAACCCCGCCTCTGTCACGATGACCCCGCCTCCTCTTGTATTACAGTAACTTCTTCTGTATTACTTGCTGTACTACAGTAACTCCTCCTGCCTCCTGTCTGCTCCAGTTTTTTTTGGACTCACTTGGTTCTGAAGTCATCAGCAGCCAGGCGGGCGTTGTCGATGCTCAGATGGACGGAGCCGTTCAGCCTGATGGCGGCCTGAATCTAGAAAAACAGAAAGCACATCATCCATCACCTCAGTGCACTAATACTGAAGTACTGAATGTTTCTGACGCTGTTACAAATATATTAGCATATATTATTATCAATCAAGAGAAAATGGATTCTTCTAGTCCAGTATTTAAACCCAGTGCAGAATTTTTTCTTGTACTGATTTTTTCATGTTTCCAAAACTGCGTAAAATCAGAAATCTGTGGTTAAAAATGCTGCAAAAAATTGTACAAATAGAACCCAGCTGAGAGAGAAGCAGCTTTGCTTCGAGCAAAAACTGACAAATATTGTGAGAAGTGAGTCTCCTTTGCACTGCAATAAAAAAAAATCTTGTTAAAAAAAAGGTGAAAGTGAAAGTTCAAAAAATATTTTCCATTTTTAAATTCTTGACATGCATGATTTTTCTTTCAATTAACAAAAAACAAACAAAAAACATCAACTTATTGTGGATTTAAATGAAGATGTATTTAATGCTTACACATTGTGAACGGATGAATTATCATTTTAAATATTTGTTTTCTGTGATTTTATGAGATATTATCTGTAAGTTAACAAAAAAGTGAAAAATGCAAAATTCAATACAATAAACTTTAAAATTGTTTCTACAGTGTAGTGTCAGTTTTTGCACATTGAATTAATGCTACATCTTTTCTTGCAGTGCAGTTTTAATTTTTTTTCCGTAAAATGCTAAAGCAGCTGCATTCCTGGATTTTTACAAAATCTAGAAACAGTTTTTGGACAAATTTTGAGTCAATTTTACACAATCTGAAAAATCTTTGAGTCAATTTGGGCATGTTTTTGTCATTTGCCTTTTCTAGTTGTGTAAAGTGCAGCAGCTTTTTGCTGAAGTTCTTTGGGTTAATTAACCAATGAATCAGTTTCCTGTGACCTGGAACCTACAGAATCTTCAGCAAATGACGGAGGTGACGATTGGATGCAGGATGAGGAGGTTTTTTTTTTCTTTACCTTCGCAGTGAGGTCTCCGATGGTGACGAAGAAGGCGCTGTAGTCGCGGGTGGCTGGTCCAACCTTGCTCTCCACAAACTGCCTGATCTTCAGCTCCAGCTCGGCGTTGGCCTTCTCCAGCGAGCGCACCTTGGCCAGGTAGGTGGCCAGACGGTCGTTCAGGTTCTGCATGGCGAACTTCTCGTTGCCGATCACGCTGTCTTCGCTGCCGGACACGCTGTAGCTCATGGAGGAGTAGCCGCCGCTGCCACCCATGTTGAAGCCTCCTCCACCCATGTTGAAGCCTCCTCCACCCATGGTGGATGAGGAGATGCGGACCCCTGATCTTCCAGCGCCGCCGTACACGCTGCTGGCCCGGCCTGCTCGTATGCTGCTGGCCCGGCCTGGTCCCATGCTGCTGCCCAGCATGGAGCCGCTGGAGCTCGTGACGACCCTGGTGGAGCTTTGGGAGAACATGGTGGATGCTGCTGCTGCTGCTGTGGAGTTGACACAGAGGAGAGTGAGGAGCTCAGAGACTCGCCTCCTTTTAAAGCCAAAGAGCCGCCCATCACTCAGCGAGCACCCGGCCAGGTATGCAACCGCAGGGGAGGTCGGGCCAGGCGTGGCAGGGATGGTCAGGGAAATATGCAACCTTTTCACTCTGTCACACTGATGGAGGGTTTGTGTCAGTGCCAGAGGATAAGGCCTCCCAGCGACCTTTACACGACGAGCAGGTTATATAAGCTGCAAAATCTCCAACGCCTAAAGACATTTGCTGCAGGAAAAGCTTTCACCGGCAGCCTCGCAAACCTAAGATAACTCCTGAGGAATGAGGTGTGGGTGTGTAAATACCATCGATCGTAGGTGAATGTTAATGTTAGCTCATGAAAGTCCACATCCTGTGTAATTAAAATGCATCTAGTTTGACGCTTCTGTCACACAAACGGGAGAGTCGGTAGGTTTCTAAATGAGAGCATTTGTTCAGGACGACTTACAGATTTTCAATAACAAAAGCATGTGCAGGCGTGACAAAAACATTTTGGAAAATGATTCAATATCAAAAATTTTTAAAAAGGTATGTTAAAGTTGAAAGTTTTGTCCAGAGGGACTCAGAATTTCTCCGAAACCAAATTGACCCAAACTTGTGCAAAATGACCGATTTGTCAAAACGTCAGAAATCGAGGAATCTCCCACAACTTTAAGATGTATTTTCATGCTTTTGCTTTCATATGGCTGCATGTGAAAACATCAAAAGGTGTTCAGAAACAGGTTTGTTTCAAGGAAAAGATGCCAGAGATTGTGTTACTTTCATGTGGTTTTTGTGTTTGTCTTTTTTTCTGTATGAAGTGAATCTTGTGTGTTAGTTGTGCAAACTGCAGACTGAGGTTTGATAAAGTCAGTCTGATCAGGTTCTCTATCGCAGCAGAGTGACTGATGAAGCCGCTACTGTGGCCAAAGTCCCTGTTTAATAAGGAATAATCTGCATTGTTCTAATATCTTATCAATTAGTGACTGATAAAACTTCCAGTTATCATTTCAGAGAGCTGTAGAGCTGCCTTACTCACAAAACATTTATTAATAATTGCTTTCATTTGCTCATTTATCTCGGAACATGTGTTTTTTTTTTTAAAAACTCTTTGATATTTCTTTAAATTTTCCTAAATGTATGGCTCCAAAAATGGGCTGTTGTCCCACTTTTCTCAAATGTGACATCATAACACTGACATAGGACCACTGAAGGAGCCTTTTAATGTGTTGAAATATCGTGCTAACTTGTTAGGATCAGGGAGACGAAGTCATTTGCTGCAGCTGCATGACGTGAAATGCAAAACAATGCATTCTGGTTGCGGGCTGCAAGGTGGCGCAGTTGGTAGCACTGTTGCCTCGCAGCAAGAAGGTTGCCGGTTCGTGTCCCGGAATCTTTCTG